CTCCAGGTTGAGCTGTTGTTCAGCATCTTAGCTGTAGAGGGCAGTGTCACTGGCCCTCATATGTGGGATCCGAACCGGGGCCCTCTGGTGTCCCAAGCGAGTTCTTAACCATCGCGCCACTCGGCCGGCCCTGAAATTATTATTTATCAAATGTTTATGGAGCATCTGCTATGTGACAAGCATACGCTGGGTGGTGAAAAGACAAAGATAAGCATATCCCTGCACTGTACTTCCAGGGATCTTATAGTCTACTTACTGTATCAAGCTCAGCAGAGGAAAACTACAGGTTTTGTGAGAAACCTTGTAGGTTCCCAACAAGGAAATCTAATTTAGATGGATGGTCTGGGATGGTTTCTTTGATAAACATTTAAATGGAGGCCTAAACTATAAAGACATACTAAGTTGGTGAAGAATACTGGAGAGAATGGTATAGAGAGAGGAACAGCAGCATCATACTCTGAAGCAGGAGAAGAATTGCAAATTCTAAGAGCTAAAACAAGGCTGCTGTGGCCTGGGCCTGGTAAACACGCAGGATAAGCCTCATGTTTTTTGTTTTGTTTTGTTTTGTTTATTTTATTGGGGAACAGTGTGTTTTTCCAGGACCTATCAGCTCCAAGTCAAGTAAGGAGTTGTTTCGATCTAGTTGTGGAGGGCACAGCTCAGTGGCCCATGTGGGGATCGAACTGGCAACCTTGGTGTTATGAGCACTGCGCTCTAACCAACTGAGCTAACCAGCCACCCCAGCCTCATGTTTTATTTACAGCTAGCCCAGAACCCATATCTTGAGAGGCTAGATATACAGAGCTAATGCCCCAGTGTTACCAACTGCCAACAATGTGCAAATACTACCTAGGAAATAAATATTAATGACCCATGAAGCAATAATTTCTAAAAGCTGGTCCACAGGTTGGTGCCACACTGTGAATAATAAATTTTAGTGTTTGGAGGTGAGTTGAGAGAAAAAAGGACATTGTGGAGAGTTATTAATAAAGATAAATACATTTGATTTTCAATTTTATAATTATGCCCTTACTAGTTTTTCATGAAATAATAGTGATATTGGGTTTTATTTTCAATGCCTTTACCTAGAAAAATCAAAAGGTCTCTACTCTATTGAATTGAAAAAACAGCTATTTTTCACCTGACTTTGGAGTATCCCCTTTGAGTTCTGTGAAATATGTCAGTCTAGGAAAGATTTCCTCAAAAGGTAACAGTACCTAGATTCACCCTTATCTTAAATAGTTGGCAATAGTAGAACATCCAGTCAAAAGCAGAGGTGGAGCCTCTTGTGTCCCCCAGCTGAGACTACTGAATGTTCATGTGAAATTTTTGCTTATTAAAAAAAAGATAATACATCAAGAACTGTAAATTCCTATTCACATTCACACACATATAATATTCTTTATGTAGACAATGTGTAAAGGAAACAGCATGGTAATTTTTCCATGAAATAAAAATGCCAAGCTCATGCATAATTTATATAACAAAACCAACAGACCATGTAGTTTTGGTGTTTAATTATAATCCCTTGCTTCTTCCTGATGAGTGCCATTAATCAGTCCAATCAGTGTCTGAAATGTCTTATTTCTGTCTACAAATAAACACCTAAATGGAAGTGTTAAAATAAACTTAATTGAACTGGGTTTTGTGTGTGTGTGTGTGTGTGTGTGTGTGTGTGTGTGTGTGTGTGCATGCGCGTGCGTGCAAAGCATTTCTTGGCCTAAATGTAAAAAATGGAATTTAAACACAAGTAATTAAATAATTGACAAAAACAATAGTAAATTTTTCTGAGATTTTTATAGAAACACAGATATTTAAAAAGATCTATTTAAACATCTTGACCTTTTGGTCAAGCATAACATTCTGCTGTTTAATTAGTTTTTTATTTTTGAAGGAAACCTATAAAGTCGCTCTTTCAATACTGAAAGGATCTTCATGCTTTAATTTGATTGTGTGTTAGGCTATTTGACCCCACGGATTTCTATCCAAAGGCTAGAGCAACCTCTCGATGGCTTCACATTTTCCCCCCTCATCCCAGGAACCCCTCCATGCTTTCAAAGAGAAATAAATTAGACTGATTAGATGGGCTGTGAACATTAAGACTTGGATTTTGTTTTCCCTTCACAAATCTTATTCCACAGCTGCTCCATTGCATTGCCATAACAACATAGATCTATGGAACATTTTCCAATGGCTGGAAAGGGCATTTTTTTCCACAAGGCTACAAACATTTGTAAGGTAAACATTACCATTAGTTTCTTCAGAAATAGAGTTTAAAACCTAATTTCAGGACTGCTCCAGCTCCTGAGCTCACTGCTGCTCAACTTGAGGTCACAGTCTGGTCTGCAGGCACACAGGTACCCTCTGTCCCTATCCAGCAGTTTCCTACTGAAGACTGGTCCGCAGCCCCTAATGGCTCAGGCCACTGAATGGATAGGAACAACCACTGAGTGGCCTTAAACTGTTCTTTCACAAATTCTTAAGCAAAATGGAAATAAGGCTGATGGAAAATAAAGTTTCTAAAAGTTAAAAACAAAAACAAAAACAAAACCTGATTTCAGTTCTATTCCTATCAAACTAGAAGCAGTCTTGTCATTTGTTAAAATAACTGTTGTCTCCCCTTTAGTAGCAGAACAGGCTTAGTCAGAGGCTTCTCCAAGCCCATCTATCACTTCCTTCATGGCAGAGGCTGCTCCCATCAATCATTGTGCACTCTCAATGATCTCTGTTCTGTAATCCCTCTGTACAGTACATTGCAATACTATGCTGGATTCCAGCCTGCTTTACAAATATCATATGGTAACTTCATCCATAAATATGTTTCAAATGCCAAGTAGTTTATAAATTTGAAACAAAGTACCATGACTATTATTGCTCCTTATTTCTCAGTAATTTTATTCACTTTATATTCTTAATAAATGTTTGTAGGGCAAATGGATAGATAGACATCAGTATAGCATGATGGTTAACAGTAAGTTTGAATTAAGTTTGAGTCCTGGCTTTGAGGTTTTTAACAAGTTATTTAAACTCTCTAAACCTCAGGTTCTTCATCCATAAACCAGGATGTTACTATCTATCATACATTTCTTATAGGATTGTGGTAGGTCAAGTGCCTAACACATAATAAGAGCCTATGAGATGTTTATTATTGTAATCACTGGTCATTCCAAGCATTTGATAACTATTTAGTAGCAACTATGTTCCAGGCATGTGATAAAGGTTGAGTACTGAGTGGTGAATAAGACAGATATAGTCTTTGCATTTTATGGAGCTTACACTCTGGTGGGGGACACCCACAATAAACAAATCAGCATATAATTAGAAATAGTGACCAAGGCTAAGAAGAAGACAAGGTGTTGTGATAGAAAGTACCAGAGAAAGAAAGACTTACTTTAGATGGGGTAATCAGGAAAAGCCTCCTGGAGGTCATCTTTAAACTGTGACCTGAAAGATGAAGAAAATGCCAGGTGAAGACTGAGAGAAGACAAAACAGAGGTGAAGCAGAAGGTGCTATGCAAATTCCCAGCAAGGAAGAAGGCCATGGGTCTGGAGCATGCTTAGTAAAAGCATTGATAAGACAACAATTTTCAGAAGCCAGAAAATGCACAATCTTGTAGGACATGGGAAGGAGTTTAGATTTTACTCTATTCAATGGGAAACCACTGAGGATTATTAAGGAGAGTGGCATGATTTGATTTGTTTTTATAACATTACTCTGGATATCATGCGATAATTTGGAAAAAAATGCAAAAAAAGTGCATAGATAAGCTATTGCAATAATACAGGCAGAAGAGGATGGTGACTTGAACTTAGTGGTGGGGGTGCTGGAGAGAAAAAAAAACTTGAAATATATTATAAAAATAGTAAAATCAAATTTCACTATGGTATTGACTAGGGGAGAGAGGTGCTGTGGTTTTCTTCTGTTTATGGTCACTTCCATAACTATCACCAGTCAGCCTTCAGGCTCCCCAAAAGATGATGTTGCAAAGTAATAATCTGAGATATTAACATTAAATATTTTCCTAAAATCATTCGGTTATCCTCTAGCAACCTTCTCAGAAACTTAACACATTTCCCATTTACGTCAGTATTCTCCAAATCCTACAGTAAGACTTAGGGAAAAGCAAAAATGCTTCACCATCAGGAAAACTTAAGCACCAACCTGAGACACTAGTAGTAACATATGTGAAGTCTTGTTTAAGCCCATCTAATGCAACAAAAATTACTGAGCCTCCCCTATATGAAATTTGTTTTTTGCCTTACCTGGAAGCTTCAAGATTTCCTATAAAACTTATAACCATTTTTTTCAAGGTGAATTTTTTTTTTGTTTCAAATACATATGTGCTTATTACTTTCATTCCCTTGTAAGCAACACCAACAGATGGTATGGAATATTTGGATGCATAATGATTAAGGCTGAATTTGCTGAAAACTCAAAGATTAAAAGTTATTCTTAGAAAAAGAAGTAATCCACTACAACGACTTTAAAACGTCTAATGATTTGCAACCAAAAGAACACCTAAGGAAGCACACAGTATGACTTGAAGATCTGAATTTCAAACTATACATACCTGAAATAAGAATCCTGTGTGTTCATCCACAAACATTATCTCAACACCATGAAAATTCTGAGCGACTCCAACTTTTTTCCCTGTCAGAAAGTCGAATCTGTAACTGCAGTTGACCCTTGAACAAAACTGGTTTGAACTGCCGCGTCTATTTATAGGGGTTTTTTTGTTTGTTTTGTAGGGTTTTTTTTCCAGTAAATACAGTTGGCGGGCTCTTTGCTTCCTTGGGTTTCATATCCTCAGGTTTCGCATGTGCGGATTCAACCGTGGATTGAAAACAGTATTTTCTCATTCCCAACAACAGATTCCCAACAGCGGATAAAATGCTGTTTTCAATCTGCAGTTGATTGAATCCACGAATGTGAGGAGCGGTCTACCAAGTCAAAATTTATCTGCGGATTTTCGACTATGCAGAGGCTAGCCCTCCTAACCCCTGCACTGTTCAAGGGTCAACTGTAATCTCAATCACCACTTGATCAATATTCCATCAAAATGCAGCCTACCAAGATAAGCAATGTATTCTGGCCACTTAAACATCTTTGTGGAACTTTTCTCAACAAGTGGGAGCAATGCAATTCTACTGCAGAAAATAGATAACAGGAGGATTATCTTGAGAAAATATCACACAGTAGTTTCAATGTCCAGTAACCCAGTATGATGCAGTTTGAAACAACCGAAGTTCCAACTCATCTAATCTTTTGCAGTCCCAGAATTTTTTTTTAAGGAAATTTTGTGTCTAAAACCAGAAAACTGAGAGTTAAAGTAATTAAGCCCAGATTAGGCAATTTTGATAGCAGAAAATAGAAAGAGCAAAAATGCTAGGGACAGCATAGCATGTTGCCTGGAAAGATGAGATGTGGGGGTGGAACCAGACTAGGGAAAGCAACAGAATGATGAGGCATCTGGAAGTAGAGATGTAATGGGAGAATTTCAAAGAAATGTTTTATCTAATAATTAAAATGGCATCCATCATTTATGAGCATGCCAAAGGCCAGGCACTATACTAGACATTTTATGAATTTTATCTCTAATTCTTGCAATAACTCTGTAAGGCATGGCTTAAGTACTCTCATTTTTTTATAAGAAAACAAATCTTCATGAGATTATTTACCATGCTTAAGGTTCCTGAGCTAGTAACTGGCAGAGGTAGGATTTCATATCACATCCATCTATCTCTAAGATCCAGGGCTGCATGGTAGGGTTGTTCATCCTGCATGACCATGTACAATGGTCCTGCTAATCCCATCGCTTTATACAAAAATACATTTTCCAAAGTTTTAAACACTGAAGTTTAGAAACCCTAAGTTCTACACTGAAATCTTAACATGAATTTGAGAAGCTCCAACATTTTGCATACAAGAAAGACCATATTGCCATATTTTCAGAAATATGGCAGAGTAGTTCAGAGAATGTCTGATGGGAAGACCAAGGTGGCATGTGACATCTAGATTCTGGATGACCTATTTTGAGCAAAAGTATTAGTCTGAGAGAAGAGCATATAGTACTACAAATAGTATCTTACTTTATGAAGAGTGTAGAGGATATTGGTAATTGTTGTGTAATATCCATTACCCCTTCTTTCTTTTAGTAACAGACCCCGAGTTTTAGCTGGGTTTAGGTATCCAGCTAGACACTTTACTTCCCAGGACCCCTTTGCAGCTAGGTTCCAAGCAATGGAACTTCTGGCTCCTATCTGTCAGATTAAAAACAAATCTGGATTTTATTTGAAAGGATTATTGTGAAGGGTAGGAGAGGGCCTATTGCAATTGGAGAAGGAGAACTACTGCCTAGGGAGAGCACTCTGACCATATGATCTGCATTGTTACGCAAAAAGTTTTCTTCCATAGACAGGAGTAACAAAGCTAGACAGAACCGGATATAGGGGAGTGGGATGAAAGTGTGGCAAGGTTGGACAATAGATTAAAGAATGTTTTACCCTGAGTCCAGCCTATTTTCTGGGAGAGACCCTCAAAGAGGGCTCTGTGCTGGGTCAGGCTGAGAACAGGCCAAGGTTCGTGTCTGAGGGAAGCAGAAAATCTTAACCAAAGCATGGTTAACAAGCATTTTGTTCCCATTGATCAGTGGGAACAAAACAGTTCAGCTGACCATTTAGGAAGCAAAAAATGGGGATATGGAAGGACTGGTTCTGGCCTCGTCATCCATAAACAAAAGGGGCATCCCTGGGTCTTAGGTAAGAGTGGTTCTTTGCAGTAAGCTGTTTGCCAGCATACAAATTGTGTGGAGGAGTTTCTTCAACCGTTGCCATTTTCCAGTATCACAGGGTTTGGGCCAAGTTCAACACTGTCATAACCTTACATGGGATCTGCTTGCCCTGGTTCTTTTTTCATCTTCTAATGGTTGGAGCATAGTTGTGGTGGTAATGAGGCACCCTAAGGGAAGATCTAACCTGAAGTTGGGGAACCTGGGTCCCTGGATAACTTTGTAAAACCTAGCCATCTACTTTTCCTGGTCAGCACATGTACCTCTGGACTAGTAGGGGAAAAAAAGAAATAAGCTTTGATCTACTTTGTGCCATTTTATTTTGAAGTCCCTAAGTTAGATCCACTTAGCTAGTACCCTAATGCGTACAAATACTAGTCCCTGACAATAAGAGAGTTTATGTGTGTTTTCGGCATCATGGTCAACCTGTCAAGCGCCATCTTCAAACATGAGAGATACTATTAAATGCAGAATTCCCTTGTAGTGGCAAGCACTCTCATCCTTATTCATCTATGATTGCCTGAAGCATCAAAAGCTCAATTTTGCTCTGCTTTTCTGTGTCACACAGGAAAAGAATTGTGTTTCAGATCCTGACGTGAATTTAAAACTTTCTATTCACCTACCATTGGCATATAAAAAAGAAATAGCATGACTATTCTTATTTCTGATGAAATAATATATGTTAATGCATGTATTTATGGTATTACTGGGGATTTTTAAAAGTCACTGAAATGACATAATATGCGACCATTTAATTCAATTGGTCTTTAAGTCGGCAATAGTCTTCATGGTTGGAAATGTGGAGATAAGAAGATATGGAAGTTTAACCAGAGTGTTTAAAAGAACAAACTATTCACCAGAAAACATGTATTGCTTTATGCGAAACATTGTAATGCACCCACCCAAGGTCCTTCCCCAAGGTAGCACCCATGTGGTGTACTTTGCTAAAGGAACAGCCATGTGCATGTCTATTGTTAGTGACACAGCTCTGAATTCCAAAGGTCTGTCCTTTAATTATTTAAATTTCTCAAGCAGTCCTAATAGCTTAAAAGGTATTGATTAGTCAATGTTCCTCTAGTGAAGAAATAGTCCAATATCAATACTGCCTAGGAAGGCTGTTTGTTCAATTTAATCTAAACAAAGAATTGGTTAAAAGTAATCTCTACATGCTCTTTGATTCACTGGATCATTGAATTCACTGTCTCAGTTGTGTTCTTAATGATTTTCAAAACATTTTGGAGAAGTTACTTATCCCAACAAAAAATGAGCCTTTATGGCTTTAATTCTCCGCATTTCCTGTTTTTTTATGTGTGATTTTTAATATGCTGTGAAATTATTCAAAATCTTTATTGTACATTGTTCCCTTTTTAAAAACAGACCCAATTAGAGATGTGAGACATACAGCCAAATATATGGCATCATTTTTCACCTGTTGAGTACCCAACGTTTCCAAAGCATTCTCTCCGCCTCTTCCCAGTGGCTTCTGAAATGTTATACTTAAGTGGATAAGCTCCCCACTGGGGACATTATCAATTAAGAACCCTCTGCTCCAGTCCTTGCACTCTGAAGTAATTCAAAAATCTTTTACTTATGAAAAACAATCTCACTTCCCAAAGATTTGGTGTTTCTGGCTGATGCAAAACACCACTAGAACAGGTCATCTTTCTCATATAGTGGTAGCAACAAAGGAAAAGGGCACTAGCAAAGCAGTAAGACATTCACTGCATTTTTTTCCTCTTCATTTAAGCTTAAAATCTTTTCATTACAATACAAAAATTTACCTATTATTAGACTGAATTTGCTAACAAATAAGTAGTTATCTGCTTTTGAAAATCCTTTACAAAGAAGAATAACGAAAGCAGTTCCTATCATGATGATTCACATACATGCCTTTAATTTTTAAAAGAAACCAATTTCCCACATTCTCAGTTTGATGGGCTAATTCTAAACTCCAGAAGGGGAAATCTTATAGAAATGTGAACATAGCTGAGTTAGACATGTCCAATGCCTTTCTTAGAGGTTATGATTCTTATACATCCTAAGTTTAGTATGTGATATGAAATGCAATTGAGTAGAAGACAATTTGAACATCCTTTGTGTGTTGTTCAAAAGGTAACTTTACAAAGTAAAACATTAGTGTACAAGTTCGGACAATTTAGTTCACGAACTCATCCTAGAAAAAGTGCTACATACCTCATTGCTGAATATCACTATGGTCACCTTTGAAGTACTCCCCTTGGGAAGATATGCACCGATGCCAGTGCCTAGTCCACCCTTCAAAGCAATTCTGGAACTCTTTTTCTGAAATGGCCATCAGAGCTGTCGTCATATTACCCTTGATGTCCTTAATGTCATCAAAGAGTCTTCCTTTCAATATTTCCTTTATCTTTGGGTAAATAAAGAAGTCACTGGGGGCCAGATCAGGTGAATTAGAGAGGGGGTTCCAATACAGTTATTTGTCGACTGGCTAAAAACTCCCTCACAGACAGTGCCATGTAAGCAGGTACATTGCAGTGATGCAAGAGCCATGAATTGTTGGTAAAAAGTTCAACCTTTTCAGCACTTCCAAATAGTGAACTTGGTTAACTGTTTGTCCAGCTGGTACAAATTCATAATGAATACTCCCTCTGATATCAAAAAAGGTTAGCAACATCACTGCAACAAGTTCGCGAACTTAATTGTCAGAACTTGTAGTGTGCATAATGCAAAAATTTTGTAGGTCTGTATGACAAAACCATAGAATTGATCAGCTATTGTTAACTGCTATTGTAGAGAAGGAAAACTTTTCTTCTACCCTTCTAGGTTCTTTTGGCTTGTCTAATAATTAAATTGACATAAGACAGATTAACAGAAGAGAAACAAATTTAATGTTGTACTTACAGGAGCCTCAAGTAGACATGAGAGGCTCTCAGTCAGGCACTTGATGCTTGTATACCATCCTGAGCTAAGGGAAAGGGGGTAAGGGCCTGGGACTTCAAAGGGAAGAAAGACAA